GGGCTTTGCCTTTCTCTGCTGCCTCTCTGATTAGCTTATTAACTAACCTCCTGCAATCTTTTTCAGGTAAATCAGGAATTTCTTCTTGGTTTGGATCCATTGCTGGTGAGCCAGTGTAATTTTAGGGGGCTTATAAGAGTCTTGTTTGGTCATATTACCAGAGTTGCTTTTCTGGTTCCTTCTCACTTGGGTAGGCCCTGTCAGAGAAAGGGTCTAGGGCTAAAGGCAGTTGTTCAGATTATTTTGTCCCATGGTATTCCCTTGATGGAGTACTCTTTCCCTTTTCCTAGGGATGAGGCTTCCTGAGAGCTGAGGTGCAGTGATATTTTTTTTCTCACTTTTGGATCTAGCCACCCAGAAAGCCTACCAGGCTCTGGGCTATTACTGGGGATTGTCTGCACAGAGTCCTGTGATGTGAACTGTCTATTGGCTTCTCAGTCATGGATACCAGCATCTGTTCTGGTTAAGGTGGCAGGGGGTGAAATATACTCCATGAAGTTTCTTAGCTTTGGTGGTTTAATGTTCTATTTTTGTGCTGCTTGGCCTCCTGCCTGGGGGTGGCACTTTCCAGAGAGCATTAGCTGTGGAGAGAAACCAGCAGTGGGTGGGGCTCTAGAATTCCCAAGAGTATATGCCCTTTTTCTTCAGCTACAAAGTTGGGCAGGAAAGACTATCGGGATGTAAAGGACCTCTTCAAGGAGAACTACAAACCACTGCTCAAGGAAATAAGAAAGGACACAAACAGACAGAGAGACATTCCTTGCTCATGGTTAGGAAGAATTAATATCGTAAAAATGGCCATACTGCTCAAAGTAATTTATAGATTCAATGCTATCCCCATCAAACTGCCAATGACCTTCTTCACAGAACTGGGAAAAAAACACCTTAAACTTCATATGGAACCAAAGAGAGCCCGCATAGCCAAGTCAATTCTAAGCAAAAAGAACAAAGCTGGAGGCGTCATGCTACCTGACTTCAAACTATACTACAAGGCTACAGTTATCAAAACAGCATGGTATTGGTATCAAAACAGAGATATAGACCAATAGAACAGAACAGAGGTCTCAGAGGCAACGCCACACATCTACAACCATCTGATCTTTAACAAACCTGACAAAAACAAGCAATGGGGAAAGGATTCCCTGTTTAATATATGGTGTTGGGAAAACTGGCTAGCCATGTGCAGAAAGCAGAAACTGGACCTCTTCCTGACACCTTACACTAAAATTAACTTCAGATGCATTAAAGACTTAAACATAAGACCTAACACCATAAAAAACCCTAGAAAAAAGCCTAGGCAAAACCATTCAGAACATAGGTATAGGCAAGGACTTCATGACTAAAACACCAAAAGCATTGGCAACAAAAGCCAAAATAGACAAATGGGATCTAATTAAACTCCAGAGCTTCTGCACAGCAAAAGAAACAACCATTAGAGTGAATCGGCAGCCAACAGAATGGGAAAAAATTTTTGCAATCTACCCATCTGACAAAGGGCTAATTCCAGAATCTACAAAGAACTAAAACAGATTTACAAGAAAAACCAAACAAGCCCATTCAAAAGTGGGTGAAGGATATGAACAGACACTTTACAAAAGAAGACATATATGAGGCCAACAAACATATGAAAAAATACTCAGCATCACTCATCATTAGAAAAATGAGATTTTTTTCTAAAAACTACATTGAGATACCATCTCATACCAGTTAGAATGGCAACCATTAAAAAATCTAGAGACAACAGATGCTGGAGAGGATGTGGAGAAATAGGAACACTTTTACACTGTTGGTAGGAGTGTAAATTAGTTCAGCCATTGTGGAAGACAGTGTGGCAATTCCTCAAGGACCTAGAAATAGAACTTCCATTTGACCCAGCAATCCCATTACTGGGTATATATCCAAATGATTATAAATTGTTCTATTATAAGGACACATGCACATGAATGTTCATTGCAGCACTGTTTACAATAGCAAAGACCTGGAACCAACCCAAATGCCCATCGATGATAGACTAGACAGGGAAAATGTGGCACATATATACCATGGAATACTATGCAGCCATAAAAAGCAATGAGCTCATGTCCTTTGTAGGGACATGGATGAAGCTGGAAACCATCATTCTCAGCAAACTGACACAAAAACAGAAAATCAAACACCGCATGTTCTCACTCATAGGCGGGTGTTGAGCAATGAGAACACATGGACACAGGGAGGGGAGCATCACACACTGGGGTCTGTGTTGGGGAGCTAGGGGAGGGACAGCATGGGGTGGGGCGTTGGGGAGGTGCAACATGTGGAGAAATGTCAGATATAGGTGATGGAGAGGAAGGCAGCAAACCACATTGCCGTGTATGTACCTATGCAACATCTTGCATGTTCTTCACATGTACCCCAAACCTAAAATGCAATAAAGTGTATATTTAAAAAAATAAAATAAATAAATAAATAAACAAGAAATAATAAGTATTCAAAGAATGTGGAGACATTGGACCCCTTGTATACTGTTGGTGGACATGTAAAATGCTACACCTACCATGAAGACACTATGGAGGTTAGAACTACCATATGATTCAGTATTCTCACTTATGGGATCTCAGTTCTTCAAAAAAGAATTAAAATCAGCATTTGGAAGAGATGTTTGCACTCCTTTATGTTCATTGCAGTATTATTCACAATTGCCAAGATATGGAAGCAACTTAACTATTCATTTGCATATGAATAAATAAGCAAAATATGTTGTATACATACAATGGAATATTAGCCCCAAAAAAGAAAGAACAAGGTCATATCCAACATGTATGAACCTTGGGCAAGCACAGAAAAGTAAACACTGCCTGATTTCACTTATATGAGATATCCAAAAAAGTCATCTCACAGAAGCAGAAAGTAGAATGGTTGTTGTCTGGGACAAGGGACAGAGGAGCATAGGGAGTTGTCACTTAAGGGCATAAAGTATCACTTATGAGAGGTGCAAATGTCTTGGAAACCTGCTGCGCAATATTTTGCTTATAGTTAATAATGCTGCACTGTATACCTAGAAATGTGTTAAGTAGGTAAATCTCATGTTATGCATTTTTATCACAATATTTTAAAACTAAGTGTTTTGCGTACCCTCAGCTAAATTGGGATTTTAGTACCAGAGTGGCTAAAAACCCTGCCTGAAAGAAAAAAGGAATGGGAGCTGTATGGAGGGGTTTACAATGTTCACACGATACTTTTACTTCAGTGGATGGCCTTATGATACCTAGTTGTTTGACTAGTTTCACTAGTTGTGAAGGGGATCCTTCACACAGGAAGCTTGGTTATACCGGCAGATGCCCTTGGAGCTCTTATCTGACCATGTCCAGCTTATGCTGGCAGCCTGACCTTGTGTTCTCACTGAAGTCCTAGGAAAACCCAGCCTGAGACACCTCCTAGTTTTTCAGACAAAAAGCATAAATTCAACACACCATCACAAGAGGAAATAAGTTCAAAGACGTCTACTTACAGATCCTGGGAAAGGAGGGAATAATGATTTGGGGGGTGGGGAGCAGTGTTCTGCCCCCAGGTCAGATGAGACAGAAATGAAGAATCTGGCAGAGAGACCAAAATCTCAGAAATCACCACTAAAGAACTTATTCATGTAACCAAACACCACCTGTTCCCCAAAAGCTACTGAAATAATAATAACAACAAAGAAATAGGTGGCAACTAGCAGTTTATATAAAGAAATCAGATGTGGGTCACTTAAAGTTTGCAGGCAAGTGCCTGAATAGTTCATTTAAAGGAAGTGACAGGAAAGCAGGGAACCCCGTCAGCTAGGCAGGAGAGATGGCCCTGAGTTATTTCTGGCTTCTGGCTTGAGCCCTTTGGGAGTGGTGTAAAACCTAGAAATTGTGTCAAGGGTAACTGAGCCCTGCCTGTGGTATGAGGAAGTTAAACTTGAATGATGAGACAAGATAAATTTTTAAGAATTTCCTCTAATAAGATAAATATGTATACTGAATACATAATAAAAATTGACTCCTCCCTATGCTAATAAACAAAACCATTGTGAGGTTCCGTGCCATTAAGCATAAGGAATATAAAAATAGGTTTCCTCGTTCCATTCTAGATTTACTACACAGGACCATCTACCCAGCGAATGCTGTGGATATACAATCTGCCACTCAACAAGTTGTACACTTTCGTGACATTTCTGATTGTAAGGGTGGTAAATGGACATTTCAGCTTCTGAGGTCCTCACTGGGAGTTTGACTCATACCTGTAAATTTTTACTTTTAATTTTATGTCCCTCAGGATAGTGAAATGTCTTGCAGTGGTTTTTGTTGTCATGTTGGTAAATTGGTTTTAGAATACTAATAAAATCAATTAGTTGTAATAAATAAATAAACCCCAGGACCCATAGTTTAGCCTCCATGAAACACTTCATCTTCCAAAAAAATTAATGACAATTATGACCATCATTATCTTACCATCATTTTATGGTCATTTAAAAATCAACACACTGTGGTCTCTTTGGTTCTCTTTGACACTTATTTGAGCTTTGAGAGACAGGACTTGGTGGTTGAAATATGAGTTTGAGATTTGGTTTGCTTTTGCAGAGGAAGGTGGCAGCATTTTCAAATGGAACTCTCTTCTTTTCCCACACCTTTAGTCATCATCTTTGTAGGTAGTATAATAATTTTGTCTCATTTTTATCAAACAGAAGCTACCAAAGGTACCTATGAAAAGTCTTCGGAAATTATCCTGCTTCATAACACACAGTCTGTATCACTTTCTGAACATATTTTAAGAATCTAACTGCTAGCCTCTTGTATAGCATTAATAACTTCTTCACAAAAAAGTTCCATTATGTTATCACTACCATTTTAAAAAGATTATTTTAAATCATGTTACAAGAAAGTATTCCAAGAAATAGACCCAGCCTTTATACTTTAACGTTAGCCATATTATTCTCATTTGTAGGATGTAGGCTTCACAGATTACAATATGTGCCTTTTGCTTTTTAATCATCACAGATTTGCAAACTTCATCACCTATTTTGGCCTTAATCTCCACATCCAGTATCTGGGAAATGACGTTTTCCTGCTGCAGACTCTCTTTGGTGCAGTCATCCTCCTGGTCAATTGTGTTGCACCTTGGGCACTGAAGCACATGAACCGTCGAGTAAGCCAGATGCTTCTCATGTTGCTACTGGCAGTCTGCATCCTGGCGGTCATCTTTGTGCCACAAGGTGAGAAAAGATCACAGGTGGAGGAAAGAAAATGTCTTTTCCTCTTTTCTCAGGGATTGCACTAATCATACCTATCTGAATCTAGAAGGAAAGGGAGAATCAGGTTCTCAGGATTCCCTGACACCAACCTGGAGATTTAGGACAGATTCTGCCACAAGTTGCTGGAAAACAAGTCAAAGATGAGTAAAGGTTGGCTTTAATATATGATTGTCTTCATCATATCCAAGAAATACTAAGACACTGAAGCCATTTATTTCTGATAGTTTCTCTACAACAGTAATCAATTACTCACTCTTTGGCCAATCAAAAAATTTTTTTTTTTTTTTTTTTTTTTGGAGTCAGAGTTTCTCTCTTGTTACCCAGGCTGGAGTGCAATGGTGCGATCTCGGCTCACTGCAACCTCCGCCTCCCAGGTTCAAGCAATTCTCCTGCCTCAGCCTCCCGAGTAGCTGGGACTACAGACGTGCGCCACCATGCCCAGCTAATTTTTGTATTTTTTTATTAGAGACGGGGTTTCACCATGTTGACCAGGATTGTCTCGATCAATTGACCTCGTGATCCACCCACCTCGGCCTCCCAAAGTGCTGGGATTACAGGCGTGAGCCACCGCGCCTGGCCCAAACTTTTAATGAGTATTGAGGTGCTAAGCCTTGTCATTGTTTCTCAACATAAGGACACAATACTGCTACGTCCTGTGTCTGGGCTCTTTCTTACTACTACAGCTGCAGTGACAAAGTATTCCGTAATTCCCATGTATCTACTTGTGTGCCTTGTATTAGGTCACCATAATTGCAATTCTGGTGTAGGGAAGTCATCGTGACTTCAAGGGAACAAAAGAACTTTTGTTCATCTTTGTATCAAGAACTATACAGTAGAAATGAGGAAATTGTCAGTTAGTAGCCTCTTGTAGATGCTGTTTTAAGAAATTAAATGTGGGACAAGGCACAGTGGCTCATGCTTGTAATCCCAGAACTTTGGGAGGCCAAGGCAGGCGGATCATCTGAGGTCAGGAGTTCCAGGCCAGCCTGACCAACATGGAGAAATCCCATCTCTACTAAAAGTACAAAATTAGCTGGGTGTGGTGGTGCATGCCTATAATCCCAGCTACTTGGGAGGCTGAGGTAGGAGAATCGCTTGAACCCATGAGGCAGAGGTTGCAGAGAGCCGAGATAGTACCATTGAACTTCATCCTGGACAACAAGAGTGAAACTCTGTCTCAAAAAAAAAGAAAGAAAGAAATTACATGATCACATGTGATAAATAAGGGAACCCAGGTGGCCACCAGTCTTCACTTAACTCTTAGTTTAGTAATATATTTAACAGGATCCCAGATTGGTGTGCTTCACTCCTCCTCCTGAATGTCAGCAATGATACAAGTGTGCCACAAAGCAACAGAACCCATTCCAATGTCATGAGGCTGTTGGAGCATTTTTTTTTAATTGGATAGAAACAAGCTCTGAAACTTCCCTTCCATGCTTTCCAAAGTCTGACTTTTTTCCTCTACTCAAAGTCTTTATTCCTAATCGTTCAAATGTTAATTCTCTCTAGCTTCTCCTCTAACATAAAACTCCTGTTCTTTTCAGAAAACAAACACCACATGTTCTCCCTCATAAGTAGGTGATGAACAATGAGAATACATGGACACATGGAGAGGAACATCACACACCGGGGCCTGTTGGGGGGTGAGGGGGTAGGGGAGGGAGAGCAGGGGGTGGGGGCATAGGGGAGGGATAACATTAGGAGAAATACCTAATGTAGATGACGGGGAAATGGACACAGCAAACCACCATAGCACGTGTATACCTATGTAACAAATCTGCACATTCTGCACATGTACCCCAGAATTTAAAGTATAATTTTAAAAAAGAACTCCTGTTCTTTTATGACTCTCTTCTGCAACCCTGGCCCCATGTCAATGCTGTGTATGTACCTAGGTTTTAAAGGCGAGGAGAACATAGATGAGTCTTACATTCCCAAGTATTACACACATGACAGTCCTATGTTCTGCCAGGTAGGAAAAGGAGTCCCTGAAAAAACATTCAGTTCAACTTACATGCCCCTCTCTTGCTATGGCATATCTTTGATATATAGTGAGAAGTAGAGTAATAACTCAGATCCTTTTTATTCACTACTTAAGCCACAAGGTGAAGATAAATCACATTTCTCAGCTATTAGCCACGCACATTCTTTGCCTCTATGCAGTTTCCCCACGGTACGTTTTACCCTTGCAAACACCTCCAATACAGTCCTTTTCACTTCTACTTTGGGGGATGCTGATTCCTCCAGCTCAGATTTCCTGAGCCCTTGCATTCTTCCTTTCTCCAGAAATGCAGACGGTGCGTGAAGTTTTGGCAACGCTGGGTTTAGGAGCTTCTTCTCTTGTCAATACCATTGCTTTTACCCACGGAAATGAAGTAATTCCCACAATAATCAGGTACAAAACCTTATGTATGCCCTGTCAGGTTCAAAATGGACCTTTCTCAGATAATTGACGCTTTTTGTGGGAAGAAATCTAAGACTGGTTAATTAAGAAAATTAATTGTGACAGCCATAAAAACAAATAATTATAGACCAACTTTATCTCAAGCTGACTTTTTACCACTATGTTAAGTCCTTTAATGTATTATAGTGTCCCACATAACCTTCTGAGCCACCTTACAGGTTGGTGTTAAGGAGAACAGTATTTTCTAAATGATGAAAATGTGTCTAATGCACTTGTGAACTGAAAAACTAATTGCTAGCATGTAAAAGTGAAAATTCCACACAAGAGTATTTCATCACCTCTGTGTGTCTAAATGATCCCCCATAATCAGAGAAAAATGATAAATCACAAATTACCTGTGTGGATTTCTAACAGATATTCTTGTATTGCTGTTTCCATTCAAAGGGCAAGAGTGATGGGAATCAATGCAAACTTTGCTAATATTGCAGGAGCCTTGGCTCCCCTCGTGATGATCCTAAGTGTGTATTCTTCACCCCTGCCCTGGATCATCTATGGAGCCTTCTCCTTCATCTCTGGCTTTCTTGTTCTCCTCCTTCCTGAAACCAGGAACAAGCCTCTGATTGACATCATCCAGAATGTGAAAAATAGGTGAGTAAATAGCCCAGGTGCCCCTTAGAGGATCTGTGTCTATATAAGTCTGTGCTGAGGAAGGCAAAACACCATTTAGGGCCACTGTCCTCCCAAAAGGCTTAGATTTGGAATGTTCCCATGTAGTCAGTGCCTTAAGTCTAGGTACAGCCTTCCCATGGTGACCTCAGACATCCCCCGAGGCTCTCCAGATCACAGACCAGCTCTGTCCAGCTTGTCTAGGAGGCTTCGTAGTAAAGAAGCCCAAATTAGGTTTCCTTTTCCCTCCCTGCCCCAGTGTGATATGCACACTCTTGAAGGTATTTTACAAATATACAGAGATCCAAACACCAGATTTTCATCCCTGGGAACCCTCATGCTAGTGGATACCTGTGAGCTGAGATTGTCAGTGCTTACAGGCATGACTACTAGACCACTGAAGAATTTGTGGGAGACTCTGTAATGCTGGGGTATCCAATCTTTTGGCTTCCCTGGGCTACAATGGAATAAGGAGAATTGTCTTGAGCCACACATAAAATACACTAACACTAATGATAGCTGATGAGCTAAAAAAATAAAATTACCAAAAAAAATCTTATAATGTTTTAAGAAAGTTTACAAATTTGTGTTGGGCCACATTCAAAGCCATCCTGGGCCACATGCAACCTGTGGGCCATGGGCTGGACAATCTTGCACCAAGGCATCCAAGTATGACAAGTAGAAGCTATCCAAGCTGCCTTCCCAGATCCTAGTTTGGGAGCTTCATCTTTTACTTCACAAAGTTTACTTAATCCCTTGGGGGCAGAGACATGATTTTTACCAAAGCTAATGGCCAAAGAATCAGCATGCCCTAAAGAATGCAGGACTTATGTGTTTAGTCCATATCTTTTCATTTTTGTGATTTTTTGTTTGTCGGTTTCATTGTGTTTGTTCTAGAAAAGACTTCACAGAACCAGAGCAGGAGGATCCCAGCATGGAAATGATATAGTTTCAAGGAATTCTAGGAGCCGACTGCGGATCAATGAGCCAGATGAAGGGAATAATCAGGACTATTCCTAGTCACTAGCAAAATCTAGAAAATAAATAACAAGATATAATGGATAAGTAGATTCACTTCACAATTGTGTTACTAAATAACTCAATATAAGCTACCTACAAATTATCATGAGAAAAAGTTTGAAGAAAATCATAACAACTTAAAATAAATCATAATAGAATATTTATATAGTTATAGGTCCCTAGCATGTTTCTGGATAGGAATGTTAAATAATATAAAATACAATGATTCTTCCTCAATTATTTGGTAGAGTAATGGAGGGAATAATTCCAGTGAAAAATCTGATACTTTTACAAAAACTTGAAAAATAAGTTTAAATTTATCTAGGAATTAATAGTAGACAAGATGGTTCAGAAAAAGGAAGACCAGGGAGTGAAAATGTGGCTGTCAGGTAAATGGGATAGCACATACAGAACTTTACCATAAGTTGTAATATTTATAACAGTGTTAGCAGATGCATTTACAAAACAAAGAAGTTCAAAAGCAGGTTTTAGTATGTATAACATTTAATGTGTAACAATTTCAGTATTGTAAATTCTTAGAGGAAACAACAAATTATGGAATAAATAGCATTAACCAACTAATTGGAAATAAATGACTAACAATTCAACTTTATATCCTGTATTAGTCAGAGTTCTCTAAAGGAACAGAAATAATAGGATATATGTGTATATGAAGATGAGTTTATGAAGAGAATTGACTCACACAATCATAAGGTGAAGTCCCACACTAACCCATCTGCAAGCTGAGGAGCCAGGAAGCTAGTCTGAGTCCCAAAACCCTAAAAATAGGGATGTAGCCTTTAGTCTGTGGCCAAAAGCTGGAAAGCCCCTGACAAATGACTGGTGTAAGTCCAAGAATCCAAAAGCTGAAGAATTTGAAGACAGATGTTTGAGAGCAGGAAGCATCCAGCATGAGAGAAAGATAAAGGCTGGAAGACTCAGCAAGTCTGCTCTTTCCATCTTCTTCTGCTTGCTTTATTCTAGCTGCACTGGCAGCTGATTAGATGGTGCCCACCCAGATTGAGGGTGGGTCTGCCTCTCTCATTCCACTGACTCAAATGTTAATCTCCTTTGGCAACACCCTCACAGACACATCCAGGAATAATGCTTTGCATCCTTCAATCCAATCAAGTTGACACTCAATATTAATCATCACATATCCTAAACCAATATGCCAATCATTGATTATGATTATGACAGTCATTTCACACTGTATACTTACATGTGTCATCACATCGTACATCTCAAATATTTACAAGTTTTATTTGTCAATCATACCTCAATATAGCTGAAAATAAGTTAAATGAAACAAATAAACCATGCTTTCAAAGGAGGCTTGGCTACCAAAATTCGGATAAGAAAAAAAATCTGAATAGTAAAGTAAATTCCAAATCAACACATGTATACTTGACTAACTACTTATTTAAATCTTCTGTGAAGAAAACCCAAAACTTAAGGGAGAAATCTAGAAAAATATACAACAAAATGATTAGAAGCATTAAATTTTCATGGTAGACTGCAAAGTTATTTAACTTTCTTCTTTGTAAGTGTATTCTAAGTTGAAACAAGGAATATGCAACAACCGACAATTTTATAAATTACTCATTCACAGAATTAGGACAAAGAATCCTAAAAGTCACATGGAACAACAACAACAACAACAACAAAAAAAAACAGTCTGCATAGCCAAAGCAATGCTAAGCAAAAGGAATAAATTGGAGTCATCACATTATCCAACTTCAAATTATACTACAAGGCTATAGTAACCAAAACAGCATGGTACTGATACAAAAGTAGATGTATAGACCAAGGGAACAGAATAGAGAACACAGAAATAGAGCCAAATACTTACAATCAATCTATCTTGAACAAAACATACAAAAACATAAATTGGGGAAAGAAATTCAATAAATGATGCAGGGAAAACTTGATAGCCACATATAGAAGAATAAAACTGAATCCCTATCTCTCACCATCTACAGAAATCAACTCAGATGGATCAAAGACTTAAATTTAAGACCTAAAAATTCTAGAAGAAAATCTGGCTAAAACATTTCTGGACATTGGCCTAGGCAAAGAATTTTTGTCTAAGACCCCAAAAGCAAGCAACAAAAACAAAAATAAATAAATAGGACCTAATTAATTTTTTTTTAAAAAAAGATTATTCACAGCAAAAGAAATAATCAGAAGAGTAAACAGATAACCCACAGTATAGGAGAAAATATTCACAAACCATGCATCTTAGAAAGGACAAATATCTAGAATCTGCAAAGAACTCAAATCAGCAAGAAAAAAAAAATCTCATCAGAAAGTGGGCAAAGGACATGAATAGACAATTCTCAAAAGAAGATATACAAACAGCCAAAAAACATATGAAAAAAAATGCTTAAGTGCAAGAAGGGGCCATGATTAAAATGTCAACAATAGATGTTGGCACGGATGTGGTGAAAGGGAATGTTTATACACTGTTGTGGGAATGCAAATTAGTACAACCTCTATGGAAAACAGCATGAAGATTTTTCAAAGAATTAAGAGTAATAGAGAAAATAGTAGATGTACCATTCAATCCAGCAATCCCACTGCTAGGTATTTACCTGTATTAGCCTGTTCTCATACTGCTGTAAAGAACTGCCTGAGACTCAGTAATTTATAAAGGAAAGAAGTTTAGTCGACTCACAGTTTTGCATGGCCGGGGAGGCCTCAGGAAAATTATAATCATGGCAGAAGGGGAACCAAACACTTCCTTCTTCACATGATGGCAGGAAGGAGAAGAATGAGTGCTGAGCAAAGGGCGACGCCCCTTATGAAACCATCAGATCTCATGAGAACTTACTCACTATCACAAGAACCATAGCATAGGGATAACCACCCCCATGATTCACTTACCTCCCACCAGGTCCCTCCCATGACATGTGGAGATTATGAGAACTACAATGCAAGATGAGATTTGGATGGGGACACAACCAAACCACATCATTATCCAAAGGAAAAGAAGTCATTATATCAAAAAGACAACTGCATGCATGTTTATGGCAGCACAATTCAAAATTGCAAAAATATGGAACCAACCATACATTAGAAATTCAAACAACTTGATTTTCTAATCTTTGTGCATATTATTCTCCTAGATCAACCTAAAGGAGGAGAGGACTGTCAGTGGCAATTAACTTCTTTGTAGTGGGCATAATTTTCTATGGTGACCAGCCACCAATCAGTGGATAAATAAAATGTGGTACATGTGCATCATGAACTACTACTCAGCCATAAAAAGGAACAAAATAATGTCTTTTGCAGCAACTTAGATGGACTGGAGGCCATTATTCTAAGTGAAGCAACTCAGGAATGGAAAACCAAACTTGTAAGTGGGAGCTAAGCTACGGGTATGCAAAAGCATACGGAGTGGTATCATGGACATTAGATACTCATAAGGGGAGGGGGAATAATGTTGAGGGGGAAGAAAACCTACATGTCAGGTACAAAGTACACTACTTAGGTGATGGATGCACTAAAATCTCCAGCTTCACCAGTATATGATTCATGCATATAAACAAAAACCACTTGTACCCCAAAAGCTATTGAAATAAAAAATATACATATATTTAAAAATCAGATATCCACTCAAGAAAAAAATTATAAATTTTTGTTATATTTTAAATTACAAAATATAAGATAAACAAATTTCAGAATGGATACACATTTCGATTTCTTATTGGTGTCCACCAAGAACATACAATTTTTAAAGGACAAAAGTCACATGACTAAAAATTTATGAAAAAGTGTGCAAACCTATTGGAAATAGAGAGAATAGCATAAAAAGTCCATAAATAAATCCAAGCATATATGGCCTACTAATTTTGGACAGGGACAACAAAAAGACACAATGAAAAAGAGTTGCCTCTTCAATAAATGGTGCTAGAAAAAAACTGTATTTCCACATATAAAGGAATAAAACCAAATCCTTATCTTACACCATACACAAAAATCAACTTAAAATGGATTAAAGACCTAAATGTAAGACCATAAAACTCTTGAAATAAAACGTAAGAGAAAGAGAAGAGAATATAGCTCCTTGACATTGGCCTTGGCAGCAATTCCTTGGATAGTACACTAAAAGGTCATGCTACAAAAGCAAATATAAATAGATAGGACAACATCAAGTGAAAATGTTTCTGCACAGCAAAGGAAACAAATGTTTCTGCACAGCAAAGGAAACAAATGTTTCTTCACAGTAAAGGAAAAAAATGAAAAAGCAACCTAGGGATGGGAAAGAAATATTTGCAAACTATATATATGATAAAAGGTTAATATTCAAAATTTACGTAAAAAGCCATACAACTCAATAGTAAGAAAACATATAACTCAATAATAAATGGACAAAATGCCTGAATAGATAGTTCTCCAAAGATGACATAAAAATGGCCAACAGGTATGGGACAAGGTGCTCACCGTTACTAATCATGAGAACAGAATAATGCAAATCAAAACTACAATGAAATATCGCTTTATATTCCTTAAAGTGGTTATTATTTAAAAGATGAGTTAACCAGTGTTGTCAAGAGTGTGTTCTTATGCACTATTGGTGGACTATAAATTGGTGCAGCCATTAAGAAAAACACTAGAAAGGTACCATGTAACAAACTTTCAGAGGGATCCCCTGAACCTAAAAGCTAAAAAAAAAGTTTCCACCCCAAAATTAAAGATAAAACTACCATTACCATATGATCCAGCAATCCTTCTTCTGGGTATATACCCAAACAAAATGAAACTACCACCTTGTAAAAATATCTGCACTCCCATGTTCATTGAAGCATTATGCACAATTACCAAGATGCAAAAACAGTCTAGGTGTCCATCAACAGAACAATGAAAAAGGAAACTGTAATGTGTACACACATACACACACACACAGAGAATATAATTCAGCCTTTAAAAAGGAGATATTCAGTTGTACCCTAAATCTCAACATCGCACAATATATCCAGGTAACAAATCTGCACATGTGCCCCCTAAATCTAAAATAAAAGTTGAAATT